ATGGCTGCTTCAGGTATCTGGTTGCCCTTCGTGTTTTGCCGATGCTTCAGAACGGGCTGTCAGTCCTGGGGGTCAGCCTGTTTTGCGCTCGCTTTGCGCTCTCCAGGTTGCGGTTGTTTTTGTTTGAGGCTCGACTTTCAGGTGTCCGTGAAGGGGGGGGTCAAGGGAGTCAACCCTGGGTTCTTAGTGCTTGCCTTTAGCACACGGACTGTGAAGAGCAGTGGGGTTCCGGCAAGACGAGTGCAGGCCGGGGGCTTCTGCGTGTTCATGTTGGCTTTGGTCTGTAGCAGTCCTGCCTGTCCGGGGCTCTTGGTCGTCGTGGGTTTTTCGTGCTTGCTTTTTGGGGTGCTGCTTTCCTCTCAGGATCCCTTGCGGTTAAGCTGTCTCCACTGTGTTGGCTTGCAGCACTTCGGGGAGCGGGAGGGGCTTTCGGAGCAGAGTGGCGCAGGCCAAGGTTTCACACCAGACTGCTTGCACCTCGCATATAAGTTGTGGCTGAGGCAAAGCTTTCACGCAAATCTGGTTGCACCTCGTGTTTTGCCGGGTGGGAAGGCACCTTTGTGGCAGGCAAAGGTTGTACACAAATCCGTTGTACCTCGTGTTTTGCCGAGAGGAAGACACCTTCGTGGCTCAGGCAAAGGTTTCACACAACCCTGGTTGCACCTCTGTGTTACCACACGCATGAGAATGCAGAGGGGTGTCCTGCTTTGTGAACCCTGCGTTTGTTCTTAATGCTTGCAGTTAGGATCGAGGTGAGAGGGTCTGGCTCTCGGCTGCAGTTGTTTTTGGCTCAGGCACGATATCTGCGTTTGTGTGCTTGGCCGCCGTGCTGTCGCAGTATCGTCAGTGTTGCTGTCTTTCTTGATTTGTCGGGGTCGGGCAGGGCCCGAGACGCCGGCGTTTTGCAGGGCAGCAGGTCACAGGGCACCAGGTGAAGCTTCATGTGTGCTTGTGTCGATGCTCGGCTTTTGCACTAAGTGCCAATGCCTCTCTTCGATCTGTTATGAAGGGCCAGCGTTTCGCGCTTCACTATGTTGGCTTGCAGCACTTTGGGGAGCGGGAGGGGCTCTTGGCTGCTTCAGGTTCAGGCAAATCTGGTTGCCCTTCGTGTTTTGCCGATGCTTCAGAACGGGGTATCAGTCCTAGGCTCGAGGTGGGGGGGTCAGCCTGTTTTGCGCCCGCTTTGCGCTCTCCAGGTTGCGGTTGCTGTTGTTTGAGGCTTGACTTTCAGGTGTCCGTGAGGGGGACTCAACCCTGGGTTCTTCGTGCCTGCCTTTAGCATGCGGACCTTGGGTGGGGGCTTCTGCGCGAGCATGTTGGCTATGGTTTGTAGCACTCCTGCTTGACCGGAGCTCTTGGTCGTCGTGCGTTTTCGTGCGGTCCACCGTTGTTGCTTGTTGGGGTAATGCTTTCCTCTCAAGATCCCCTTGTGATTAAGCTGTCTGCACTGAGTTAGCTTGCAGCACTTCGGGGAGCGGGAGGGGCTTTCTGAGCAGAGGGCTCTTGGCTGCTTCAGGTTTCACGCAAGTCTGGTTGTCCTTCGCGTTTTACCGGGTGTTGGTGCTGGCAGTGAGGCTCAGGTTACTATAGTCTTTTTGTGTTGTGATTTTGTTGGGGTCGGGCACGGCGAGCCCCACGGTCGGGGCCAAGCAGGCCGCAGTTTAGTTATGACGACAGGTGGTTCCTTCGTAGGTACTAGGGAGGTTCTTGTCCGTGCAGCTGAGCGTCAGCTGTTTTGTGTTTTTGTCCAGAGGCATCCATCAAGGCCGCCCTGATGAGCGGGCTGAAGTATCGTGATCCATCTGGCTTGCTTGGAACGATTGGGGCGGATTGGGATTACGTGGGCACTGAAGACTTGCAAAAGCAGCTCCGGAAACCGCTTACGGAGCTTTGCCAGAACAAGTGCAACGGCGAAGATAAGATGTTGCACCCGCTCTTCTTGGTCGTGGCTGCCCCAGGCCAGGGAAAAAGTCGCTTCTTGCAAGAGTTTCATCGGCTTGCAGACGATACTGGCGTAATTAACAGCTCTTCTTATGGCCAGCGATTTCTCCAATTCCAGCTCACTTTGGAAAATGGCCAGAAAGTAGATGCTTTTGACGACAAGTCGCCACAGACGATTTTGGCATCGCGGATGCTTTGGCAATTGCTCGCGAAGGCAGACTTCACACGATTCGGATGGGCTGGCTTGCCTCCAGGCTTTTCCTTTGAGCAGCTTCGTGCAGAAGTTGCAACTGAAGGCATCCTTGTTGACGAAGTCATTCAGGCACTGGAGAAGGGCGAAGGGTTAAGTGGAGCCAAGTGGAGTTTGAGTCTGGCACTGGATGGGCTGCACAACTTGCCTGGCTCGGAAGACATGTCAAGCAAGAACACAACTTTCTACCAGACCATGCAAGCTGTATGCCAACTCGTGAATCGTGATGTGGGCCCCTTAGTGGTGGGAGTAATTTCTGCCACTACGCGAGTAGGCGTTGCATCATCTTTAGCCGACAGCCCTCAGCAGCGCGCATTTATTCGCTTGCCTAGGGTAGAAGTTGTGCAGCGAAACGGCACAGATGTTTTTAACTTCTCTGGCAATAAGATCCTGGAGCTTGTTCAATCGGACATGGGAGGGCATGGTCGAGCTTTGGAACAGCTCGAAGCAATAGGAATCCAAGATCCAAGATCTGCAGAGAATGTAGTGCAAAGGGTGCGAGTGGAACTTTTCAGGGCGTATCCATCTGCCATTCCGACTGATTTCTTGCCTGTCCTAAAAGCTGCATTGGCTGGCAAATGGCTGAACCTCGATGAAACTGTTGGCGGCCAGAACCCTGAAGAGCTGCAACTGGTTCAGCTGGAGTACAGCTCAAGCGGAAAGCTGCGTCGACTTTTGCTGCCATATATTTGGATCCACCTTGCCCTCGTTGATGAACCGCAGCTGCAAGATTGGGCGTTGTTGGACTACAGAGACATCAACAACAAGCCAGACCCGAACGGCTTTGATTGGGAAACCTTCTTGGTGCGCTTCCGGGCCTTGAAATCACTGGTGTGGAATGATGGTGAGAGTGTTAGCCTTTCTGATCTGCATGCCGGTGCTTTGATCAACTCCACAGCCTTTGGTGGGCTGTGCGTCAAGAACAGACCCCTGCAAATTGTCACTGCAAAGGGGTGGACTGCGACGAACGCGCAGCATTTCGGACTGCAGAAAGGGCAACGTGGTGCCATAGGACCAGATGGGCAAACAGCTCTTACAGGAGAAGACCTCCAGAATGGTAATTACTCCTACATAGTGCGAAATGCAAAGAGCGCACCTGCAGCCGACTTTGCAGCACTTCTCGAGGACGCCGGTGGTAACCCTTTCTCAGAATGTGGACAAGCAAAGCAAGGTCAAGCAATTGTGGACAATCAAGTCATTCAAGATGAACGTGCCAAAAGCTGCGACGCAGATGATGTTTTGATTCTCTTCTGCACAGAGGAGAAACACATCCAGCAGCAGGATTTGCCCCCAATGACAGGCATCGTTCAACCAGCCCAATGGCGGGAATACTTTGGTCCATATGTAGGGCTCGCTTGGGCAATGCAACAAGACAACAGGACGCCGTGAAAAAGTCCTTTGCAGTGAGCTCCATGTTTAAGACAGTGGTGGGAAACAGGTCGCAGTTTATTCCTTTCTCCGCAGTCAGCATCAAGACGTGATCAGCGGCACAGTTCAGCGGTTTTGGTTCTGCATTCCTGGGGCCAATGGGCGCACATGACTTGTTGATGTCATGCAAGAGCACTGTTTGTCCATGCCAGAAACACTATGTTGTGCAGAAGCGTCTGACTGTCCTGGCGCAGAGTCTCCGCAGCTAGCCCTTGTAGACAGAGTTGATTTAAAGGTCCTTGAAAAGCCCTTAAAAGGAGCCCACAAAGGGACCCCCTTTAAAGGACCCCCTTTAAGAGTGCAAGGATTTCATCCAGGTTTTCTTCATGCCAGGGGGGGCTGTGGAAAAAAACCTCAGCCGAGCAGAGCCGAACACAGCCCTTAAAGAGTCGAGAGCTAGTAGAGAATAAAGAGATAGTAGCTGGTAGAGAATACAGAGGGGAATAGAGGGGGCGCCGGCTCAAGCCGGCATTTTTTTGCTGACTGAACCTTGCGCCAGTCAAGCTCTCTTTCTCTTTTCTTTCTCGCTCTCGGCTTGTTACGATGAAGAAGCATGTGATTGTCAGGGCTGACGCGTTCGCTGGAGTGGCGGCAGCCGCAGCGAATGCAAGTTTGAAAGAGCACCTCATGAGAGCCATGATGTATTTTCAGGCATTAATCGGTGCTGCTGGGTTCTTGGAGCTTGGTGGAGATGTCACGGCTCATGCTGAGCAGTTGGTTGCCGGTGAATTTGCTTTTCACTGCTTTCGAACAGCACGAATCATGGCTTCATGTCGCATATCTTGATATTCAGCGCACTCAGGCTCTCGACACATGGAGTCTTGGCGTACAGTTGCTGCTAGCGGGATTTAGCTTGCAACAGTTGACTGGGCCGTCGCACTGACACGACAACGGAGCACTCATCGTTGGAATATCGCTCTTTCCGTTCGAGTCTGCAGCACTCATCAGTGCGTTGCAAGTCCGGTTCGAGTCTGCAAGCATCGGTGAAGTTTCGGCTAATCTTTTGGAGTCTTTCTGGAATCTTTCGAGTCTGCGTGGAGTCTTGTTAAGTCTTTGCAGAGTCGGTCTTTTGAAGCCTTTGTATCCCTCGAGTCTAGCACTCATCGCACGATTTGATGGTTGTGGTGCTTTCCGAGTCGAGCCTTATAAGGACGACCCACCCAGAGCCGCAGTGGAAGTGGAAGTCTAACCTTCAAACCTCTACCCCGCCAGACCACATTACGGCCCAAAAGATTTTGCATGGATTTTGCGCGCACTTTCGGGCGTTCTAAAAGCCAGCCCTGGGCCTCCCAGGCCACGTTTCGGAGCGAGTTCCGGCCGGATCCGGAAAGAAGGACTTACCCTATGAACGAAACAGCCAGAGACTATACCGTAACATAGC